AGCTGGGGAAAGGCATTACAAATTTAAAAAGAAAAACTCTATAAAAGTCTTAACATCTTTCTGGAGGATATATAGAAATGAGATTTCTATGTGCCAACTGAATGGTACTTATATTTTGTTTCAATATATTACAATAATCATAAGCAAAAAAAAAGTTTATTCATCAAAATGACACCTCTAGGGTTGCCTGGGTGGCTCAGTGGGTTAGGCATCCAACTTCAGCTCAGGTCATGATGTCACAGTTCATGAGTTTAAGCCCTGGATCGGGCTCTGCGCTGATGGTGCTGAGCCTTTTTGAGATTCTCTCTCTCCCTCTCTCTCTGCCCCTCCCCAACTCATGCTGTCTCTGTCTCTCTCAAATAAATAATAAACTTTAAAAAAATGTATAAAAAGCAAATAATGGCAATTCCAATGTGTCACATACTATTTTAAGGGTTTTACATATACTAACATTTAATCTTCATGACTACACTCTAAGGTACGTCATGTGGTTATCCCATTTACAGAGTTTAACAACTTGCCCCAAATCCTCAGCTGGTACCTAGCAGAGCCAGAACTGGAATCCAAGAAGGCTGGCTCCAGTACCTGGGCCTCAGCCACTAGACTATACTGACTCTTTTTATGATTAAACTCATAACACAAGTTATTACTCAGTTCTGGTGAAATTATTAATCTGTTTTGTCATTCTACAACATGAAAATAAATTTTAAAACAATTTATTGAACATTTTTAATTCTATGTTTTCTGCAAAACACAAAGCAGTGGTATTTTGCCATGGGGAAACTACATGCTTAAAGCCCACCCACTCTGAGTAGATTATTTCCATATTATATTTATAGAGTCTATTTATTTTGCTATTTTGAGAGATTTTTCACTTCTATAACTTTCTAAATTATTATTCCTATGAAGATAAATTATTATATTCTAGAATTGCTTCAAAGAAAGCTTTAAAGGCAGTAAAAATAAAACATTTTCCTTTATATTTGGGGTTTCCATTTCTTGACCATTTTAATATGGTATGGGTTAAAATAAAATATTTCACTAATATACAGGGCTTAAGTATCATAAGGCTAAAATCTTATAATCTGAGTTTTTTGTAGTGACATTTTCATTCATCATAGTATTTCATCAAGAATTACTTTTAATAAACATTAATGACTATATCACTCATTTACTTATTTTTAGCTGGAATGAAATAGATACTTTAAAAGAAACTTAATTTGTATGAAAATATAAAACACATAAGATATTTACCATCTAGTATCTAGGTATATCTGGGTAGAGGGAAGTGAATAATCTTTGCATGAGTTTATAAAGTTGATTTAGAAGAAATCTCTGCCTGTCCCTCTGACAAGATTTTTTTGGTAAGAAAACTGTGTTGTAATGAATTGTTGAACCTATGTTAACAAAACAGTTGAAAGAGATAAACAGTCAATACAGAAAAAGCAAAATACCCAAAATAGATTCAACTAAAATTATGGGATATTTTGATGCAGTCTGTTGAAATGTGCTTTCTCATATATATTAATCATTGGTTATTTAAGTGTGTCAATCCTAGCACATAGGAGAGCACCTACCAATGTTCCTAAGAGTTTCATTCATCTTTTCATCAACATTTATTTCTGTGTGTTATTTATTGGGAGGTTGTGTTAGCACTAAGGAAGAATTAGATGGTATAGACTGAGAAAAAAAGGCTCTGAGGTGATTCAGGGTAGAGCCTCAGTTTAGAAGGAAAGGAAAATGATTCTATTACCTACTCTTGTAGAAAACAACTGTGAGCCTCTGATCTTGGGCTGCATAATTTGAATTACCATTGAATAACTGAACTCATATTTGTTGACATATTATTCCTATTCATGATATTGAAATCCTGTAACTGTTTGCATAAAAAAGTATTCACATATATTGAAAATGTCATGTACTATATTCTTTCTTGATGGCATCATCTCCTAAGTATTCTATGCTTTGGTCTACTTTCTAAAATTTCTTTATAAAAACATAATTCATTATTTTTCCCCATATTTTTGTTACTAGGGTATTCCTTCTCCTTTCTCTCTATATGACCTGGGCTTGTTCACAGCATGGCAATACAAGAGTAAGTATTCCAACAGGAACCATGAAGAAGCTTTATGAGACTTTATGACATGGTCATGGGAGTCACATAGTGTCACTTCAACCATAGTCACAGACCTATCCAGATTCAAGGAGAAATAATGTAGATCCCTTCTCCCCAATAATGGTCAGAATATCAGTATCACTCCATGGGAAGGGCTTGTGTGATAGGATATAATATAATATAACATCACAGTATAACAAAATATAATACCACATCTCATCACAATATAGTGCATTATAATATAACATATGCTAGATAACATAATATGTGTCCATTTGGAAAACTACAGTCTGCAAAAGTTCACTCTCCAGCCATAGTTTACATCCCTCCTACATGATAAAAATATTCATCCCTTCTCCAACACCTACAAATACCATCTCATTACAATAAGCTCAAAATCCAGGAAATTGTCAATTAAATCAGATTGAAGTATGAATGATGCTCAGATATAGTTCCTCAGGTATATCTCTTTGAGTATATTCCACTCAATTAATGATTTTTGAAATAAAGAGACAAATTTAAGGCAAAAGATAATCATTACGCACACTTCCAGTCAAAAAGGAGTTAATGGTCCATACCAACTCTGAAATTCAGTCTGCACATATTACCAGTTCCCTGAGTGGAGCTCAGTCCTACTTCCTGGGAGTTATTTACTGTGGCTCTTGGCCTTGCCATCAAGGCCCTGTATTTACTGTTTCTTTTCAATAAAATTTAGCCTATATGTACAGTTGAATACAGTTTTAAGTCTTTTTCCTGCGCATGGAAATTAAGGAACTCAAAGCCCTCATTCCCTTTTGTATTGTCCCTGTTCCTCTCGGTCTAAGCTGGTATAATTCTTTAAAAAAAAAAAAATCATAGGCTTTTTTTGTGTCAGTTTGTAATGCACTCCATTATACCACTCACAAATCTCCTTGAAGTAAATAATTTCATCCTGTGATCTCTGTGAGCCTGCAGGAGGAACAACACCCCTAACACTCTCAGAAGCCCTAATGTTTACCAGAAAGGGTGTTCAAACTGTGTCCTTAAGACACTTATAGGATCTTTTGAGTATTTGAAGGGATCTATGAGATAATATCTCAAAGATTTTTGAGGTCTTCACAAGGGCTTTGTGTTGGGCTTGAATATGATTTTTGACCAGAAGCCATTTCTTAATTTTGGAATCATTTGCTATCAGAAGATGCTGAGAAAAAGAAACCAATTTAATTTTTTTAATTTAAAAACTTGACTCATTTATATTAAATCATTTGTTTCTTATATTTTCTCTCCATCTAGCTTTTGATTATAGGCAGCACGGAGACAGATGATACTTTCAATATACATCTATTCTACTATGATATTCTCATTTATGTCAATTTCTACAGTATCCTTTCTTTGATTAAATAGACTTCCAAAAATGATCCCTCTTTTCCATTTCATTGATTTTTTTAAAAGCACACCTTGTTGGTTATTGAGTACGCCTAATTTTTCTGATGAATGCTTATTTATTGATAACTATTTTATTTTTAATTTACTATTGCATATATTTGTTATTTTTCTAATTGATTACATTCTTTACCTTTGAGCATTTACAGTTATAAAACTTCAACTGAGAATCAGTTTGGTCACATTCATTATTATTTATTTTTAAATAGTTTGTAAATAGTGTTTTTTTAATTTATTTAAAAAAAATTTTCCTAGCAGTGCTCCATCAACTGATGAATGGATAAAGAAACTGTGGTT